TTTTGTGTAGAAAATCAGATTTTTTTTTCTCCTATTTATACCCTTTAATGTTTGATCCACGTCGCGCCACACATTCCCTATTCTCAGGTCCGTTTTCGCCCCAAAACGATTAAATTTCGTCCCAGTTGAAGTTCAAAATATTTTTATATGAACTTCTTTTAAATTATGATAAAATTTAAAAAAAATTATTTTTGGGGTCATTTTTGAGGTCACCCAACAATCGGTCGCCTCGAAAAACGCAAAAACCTATCTATCTCAGAATTCGACGAAAATTATCTGGATAACTAGATTTTGTGAGATGAATCCAACGGTGAGATCTATTTTGTCATCCGAGCTATAGAGAAATATGGATTTTCAATCCACACTACTGTGGCAAATTACCGTTTTACCATTGTTCATAAAAAGTTCAAATTTTTCCAAGTATTACATAGGCACTAGACTCATAAGGTATATACAAGTATCTCTGCTATGGATGTCAAGCTTTCATAAAACATGAATATAATCTCATAAATCTCAACAGAAGTTACATGCTCATTGTGAATGAAGTTTGAGTTTGTAATACAAAAATCACTATGATATTCCAACATAGACAAGAAATCTATAGAGTAAAACATGCAACCAATATGAACATTAAGTAGCAAATCTACAATTCCATAACTCTTAAAAAAAATTCATCCAAATAGACATTTTATTTTGAAATAAAATTCAATTTTTTTTTTCATTTTTTCCACTAAACTACTAAAAATAATAAAAAACTAAAAACTAAAATAAACAGAAATATGAGCAAAACAATAGTGTAACCTCACACCCCCCCCCAACTTAAAATTTTGCATTGTCCTCAATGCAACAATGATAAAACAATGGGTAAAATAAAAAAAGGTTAAGGGATAGAGAACACTTGAGTGAATCTCCTAAACAAAGTTATCTAACTAATCTAGGGTACAAAAATTCAAGTTATTGAAAAGGTTCAACTGGGCTCCAATTGCCCAATACCCGACTTCACTTGGGATTTTTCACCACCAAAGAACAATTCTTGTTTGAGTTTTCTCTCCACACCACGTAATTCTTGCAAATTGTTTAGCAATTTAGTATAAAATACAGCCTCAAAGTTGTCTTCATCACATTTAGAATTAATCAAACATAATTATAGAGGATCTTAACACAGAAGTTTTAAAATTCTCTTTCACACACTCATCCACCATGTCTATCTCACAAAAATCTCCCTTACTCCCCTCCCCCCGTTGATTTGCTACATGAAAAATATTGAATTCAATAGTCAGATTCCCAAAGGAGCATTTCATCACTCCACTCCTACAATTTATTAATACATTTGATGTTGCAAGGAATGGGCGTCCTAGAATAATGGGAATCTATGCAATAGGGTTAGCAACTGGTTTAGTGTCCAGTATTTATAAACTTGACGGGAACATAAAACCTATATACCATAACCAACACATCTTTAACTACCCTTCTCGGTACTTTCACACTTTGGTCTGCCTACTAGAGAGTAATTGAAATGGGTTTCAATTCTTCAAAAACTAATTTCTTGTAAATTGAAAAAGATAGGAGATTCACACTTGCAACCAAGTCTAGTAATGCTCGTTTGACCCGGTAATTCCCAATGGTAATTGCAATGGCCAGACAGCTGAGACCGTTGTAAATGGGTGGAGTGTTGGTTTAGAGAACAGTGTTTGTATGCTCCATCAAGAATGCCTTTTCCTGGACATTCAACTTCCTCTTGATGGTACACAAATCCTTTAAGAACTTTGCATATGATGGCACCTATCAAATTGCATAAAAGAGAGAAATATTGATTTTTATCTGCTTGAAAAAAAAAAAAAAGAATCTCAGCTTGGTTAGCTTGTTTTGCAAGAATTTGAAACACTGAGGGTAAGGAGGGAGAATGGGTTGTACAACCTCTTCAGACCCAACAACCTTTGCAACTCAAGTGACTCACTATCTCTGGTGTTGCCCTAAGTCTCTTTTCTATAGGCTTAGAGACTCAGTGTGGGATAGTTTTGTCGACTTCCTTACCACTCCAAAGAATGGTAATGGACTTATGCTGCTCCTCATTGGGTGTGGCATTAGAACTCTCATTCCCATGTTGACCCTTGGAATTGTCTTGGGGTTGTGTAGGGAATTTTCCCTTTTCTTGTTATTGTATCCCCATGTTATTGGTCGACTTGGTCATTTGAGACCTAATGTCATTCAGAGTCTTGTTAGTCTAGCTTTCCTCTAGGGAGAACACCCTTGTGGAGACAAGTTCTCTACAAACACTTGAGGTGTTGGGTGCAAAGACTGGTTACTTGTAGACTTAATAGGACTGGACACTGACTGGTTTAGAGGGACATGAGCCATAAATGTGGAGGCTTGAGCAGCAATGTTATTTCTCTAACTAAAATTCAGGTGCGTATGCCAACCCGGATTATAAGTATTAGAGTAGGGATAATTTTTTTGCCTTGGTTGGTTAAAGGAATTCACTTGCTCATGGAGGACCTCTTTAAAAGCTAGTAGGGTTGGACAATCCTTTACAGAATGCTTAAACTTTTCACAAAACGAGCAAGGTTCCTCTTAAGCACACTTACCACATCATTCACCTTCCTTACCTCTAGGTTTTCTACATGCCTAGACAGATGATCAATTTTGGCAAACAACTTATCTTGCTCTCTCGAAGTATATTTTTCACCCCTAACAGACTGGGATGGAATACACTGTTTTGATCGTTCAACGGCATCCTAAATATCCTAAGATTGGGCATTTTCTGATAAACTATCATAGTAATATAATGCTTCCTCAGGCTCCTTACTTAAAAGCTCACTATTACACATCTTGTTGATGAACTGACGATGGGTTGGTGCAATTCCTATGTAGAAGAAACTCACCAACTACCATGGTTCAAAGCCATGATGTGGTACAATATTCAAAAGAATTGAATGTAAAATGTTTGCAAAAAGAAATGAAAAGTAATTACATTGCAACAATGTAACACTTGAATTTAAACAAAGTTTGTAAAGTAAAACAACGGAGAAAGCTTAAAAGAAGAAGCATAAAAAGAAAATATAAAACCCTAGGAAATAGCAAAGAAAAGAATGGTGAATTGAACAATGGAATGACTATATTTTCTCTCTCTCTAGACTTGGGTATTTATAGAGGATTTGCTACTGGTTTTTCTTCATTTGATCCACCAATCATGACCCTCAAAATATGCTAGCCGATTTCCTTCCTTAGGAGTCTGAATTACCGAAAATAAAGCAACCTACCGGTAGGAAGTTGAAAATGACCTACTGGTAGGACTGTTCACTGTTTTTCTCCTACTAATTGCTTTGTTCTTCTATTGGTAGAACACCTTTCTGTCTTCAACCTACCAGTAGAAAAACTCTATGTTTTTCTCCTGCCAGTAAGATTGCTTTTCTATTGGTTAGATCATCTTTTGGCCTTCGTTGCACCATTAGAAGACCTACCGATGGAAAGGGTATTTTCTCAATTATGCTTGTTGTGGCCTTGGCTTCACTCTTGGACCTCCTGGCTCATCTTCCAAGTCATCAATGGCATTGAAACATGTGCAATTCCATGTCCTTACACCAGTTCACCTGCAAACACCCATTTTCACTATAAAATATAAAACTCATCTAATACAAAGGAATTAAGTAACTAGCATGACTAATATGTATGATTATGAGGCCTATAATATACAATATTATGCTCTCATCAAAATCCTAATGCATATTACCAGTTAGTGAGTGTCCTAATATGTATTCTTTTTGACAACTCCCCCTTTCTTTTTATCCCTTCTACTCCATGATTTCAATTAACACAATTGGAATTCTATAATTTTATTGTATGCTTCTAATCATGGTTAACATGAACTTTACAAATAAGCAATTTACAATTGACCATAAGTATTTTTATAATTCAAGTGCGATTATTTTTAGCCATTTATTTATGCCTCACCTTTTTAGATTTGACCACATTGGGCTATTTTCTCATAATTGGCCTTCAGTATCTTTTAAGGGATTGAGGTTTAACTAATCTTTTACTATGTGTTCACCTATCACCAACACTAAGAGTCATTTAAAATCATTAATAGTTCATACTAATCAAACTCCTAAGTGTGAAGGGGAATGGCATAAACTTACTTGGTTTTTAACAAAGAAAAATATACACAAAGTGTCTAATGAAATGTACTAAAGATCACCTAGGTCCATACTCTTACCTTTCCTACTTCTTAGGAGCCATGACCTTGCTAAGGCACTCGGAGCTTCAAACTTGGTTTAGATGGTGACTTTCTCAAAGTCTTCCCTAGTTATCCATACTTGTTTTCCCTTCCTAAAACTTGGGTTAGGTCAAGGAATGGGTGGCGGACTAGGTCTTTTCTCTCTTTGATAGTATGTAAATCAATTTTGATCTTGGGAGTAAAAGAGGCATTGTACACTATAGTAGGCGGTCCATGTGAAGATGATGCCTGCATATACTTGGACTCACGCTACATCTCCAAAAGCTTAGAAAGCATTGAGGCTTGTTGATTTAAGGCTTTGGATTGGTTTGGCTAGGTGCTCAAGCTTCTTATTTAAGACATTCCTATTTTTCATACAATGTCCACTAATATGGCCATGTTCTCCACAAGTATAGAAAAACCCATGATTGGTTTGGGTTTCTTTAACAACTCTCTTCTTTGAATGTCTACCCTTATCACTATTAGCATCTTTATAGATTGTGCCTACTTGGGGGGGGTGATAGGTTAGTGATACCTTTCACAAACACGGTGTTGGAAGAAGTGTAGATGTATTGATTTGTGTAGCCTAAACCACGCTTATCACCAACATTCTTTCCCATAGATAACATTCTATCAAAATTTTCATTGCATTGGAGAAGTCTCTTAGAGAGTTCATTTGATTCAATGAAAATTTTATCAAGTTTGCCACATGTTGAATGAAGATTCTTCTTAGAATTTACAAGCTCATGAAACTAACTCTCTCTCTCTCTCTCTCAAGGAAGCTCACTTGATCATTGAGAGTCTTCCTCTCATCCTCTAGACCACATATTTGGGTCTTGGACTTCACCAAGTCCACTTGAAGTGCTCTTGTCTCTTCTTCACTTGAGTTAACCTGACCACGCAAGGAGACCAGCTTCTCTTCTTGCTTGAGGAATTGCACATATAATTGATCATATTCATCTTTTATATCCTTAAAACAATATTCATCCACCACCCATGTAGGGATCTCCTCGTCCAAGTCATCTATTTCCATGGTAGGACTTTTTTAACTTCACTCATGGAAATTTCTCTAGGGGTGAGGAGTGTGAACCTACAATGGCTGTGAAGTTCTCATCATCATCATTAAAAAAAGAGTCAATACTCGAATTTGACTTGCTTTCACTATCACTCTATGCAGCCTTCATAGCTCTACTCATGTATTTGGGTGAATCTCTATTTTTTCTATCTGGGCATTCCAATGCAATATGTCCAAATCCTTGACATTCAAAGCATTACAAGCCTTGCCCTTTTCTATCAACTTCTTTTCAAGAGTCTTCTCCATTTCTATCTTCCTTCCTTAGGAGTAGGTCTGCTAGGCTTTCCTTTCGACCTTGAGGACTCAACATTACTATCCTTGAAGTATTTTTTGAACTTTCATATAATTAAGGCTAGGTCCTCCTCTCCTAATCGGGGAGACCCAAATTTACCTCCTTTTTAATTTGCAGAGCTCAAGGCAATGCCCTTAGATTTCTTTAAGGATGTAAGGTTCGTCTCAATAGGTCAATATCAAGCCAACTAGCTCTGCCGCCAACGCCAGCTCCATGTTGAAACTTATTTCCAAGGATTTGACTTTTGCATGAAACCTCTCTGGTAGAGATCTTAAGATTTTTCACTTGATGGACATATTGTCAACCTTGGTGTGAGACCCGAACATACATTTTATGGCATTTTATAAAGTGCTAGGATCTAAAGTAGAAATTGATAATATTAACTATGGGATCAAAAAAGTATTGAGGATCTAGAAGATAAAGTATGAATCCTGAAAAATATCCTTAAGGACTTAGTTATATAATGGGCATTCCATATAGTGCGAAATATTTAAATTTAAAAGGTTGAAGTTAGTCATGGGACAAAATTAAGAATTTTTGAAAATGCGGGGGGAGGGGTTGTAAACTATGAACTTTGATTATCTAAATTTAGGTTGGATTAGGAGTTTGTTAAATGTAGAATTTGAATTAGTTAACTAATGAAATTCTAAACGTGGAACACTTGTCTTGGCCAACTTCTCCCAATGGAGACAAGAAAATTGGTGCAGGTTATAGGGGGAGTCTTCACTTTGGAATGCAATGATTTTGAAGACTTGGAGGGAAAAGGAAAGAAAGCTCCAATCAGTGGAGAGTTTTTAGCTTTGGGTGAGGAAGTTTGGCTTCATTAAGGTAAAATCATCTTCATTTAATCTCTTATTTTCTTTATGATTGTCATGGGTAACTAGTAAGCATGAGAATTTGGATGGTTATGGTGACCTTAGGTATTATGGGGAAGTGTTGGAGTCTTAGAGTACCCAATTAGACAAATTGATGTTTTTGGTGAAATTTCAACAAGAAAAGCCTACATGTGGGTAACCTCTAAATCAGGAAATTTATGTGTTTTGAATCTAGATGTTGGGGGTAAAGATAGTGTAATGATAATAGGTGTTGGCTATGGAAGGAAGATTGAGTGAAGCATTAAAACCCAAATTGTTAAAGTTCGGTACTACCATGTGTCTACTAGTAGGAGGTTCTATTTATGTTCTACTGGTAAGAACCATAGTTCTGTTGTAGGAAACTATTCTATTTGTGTTGTACCAGTAGGAACTAGATACTTACTGGTAGAAGAGCATTCTGCTTGGTGAAGTACCAGTAGGACTTGTATCGGTACAATAGGGCATAAATTTTTATTTTTGCCATATAAACCTCTAATCCTGTATGCATTCACTCCTCAAGCTTTCCAAAACATTCAATGGGGCTAAAAATAATCCTAAAAGGGTTATCTTGACTTCAATTGTAGAATTAACACTTAGATACAAGTTTAGCGTTAGATGGGATAGGGATTAGCAATGGAGAACATAAACATAGAGGAAAGAAGCTAAGTGAAGGAATTTATAATGCACTGACTTAAGCATACGACAATACATTTACATGGGCACTTAAAATATAATGTTGGTGTATAATGTATGTACATGTAGTTGTGATAACATATGAGTTAGGTACGAAGGCATCCACATCATCGACATCCCATCTAAAACTCCAGCAGGGGATCAAACTTGAGGTAGATACCAACTCAAGGCGAGTATACTAACTCGTACACCATTGCTTGAATTATGGATGCCTTACTATTGAGTAAGAACATGAAAGTGTTGGCTTGTGAAGGTAGAGTGAGAATGTTTATAGCCTTAATGTCAAAATATAGCTTTAATGACATATGTGAGATGGCCATAAGGGCAGACTCGTTATAAGTGAGATGGGCATAATGTGACGCCCCTAAAACCGAGGGTCCTTTATTAACCTGTTGATCACCTATCAACCCGTAGAAGTACCCCGTGCATGTCGCATAACCCAATAGCACAATACAACATCCCCATTACCGGGGTAAAAAATGACACAGTGTTTGAGCAAAGTCACCCTTGTACCAGGAACTCTCAAACGCATATCCTATGTACATTCAATCACTAGACCAATCCCTGGTTTAATATACATCAATTTATACTTATTACTACCCCCATATACCTCCCCGGAGCCAAATGAGTCAATGCCCGGAGGTTTAACAAAACATTTTAAATTTTTTAAAATTTAACGAAACCTACCAGTAGAAGAGCTCAGAGTCCTACCCTTAGAAGAGCTCACTAGAATTCTTCTACCAATAGGAAATCAACATTCTACCAATAGGAAAACTCACTAGAAATTTTCTACTGACAAAACTTGACATTCTACCAGTGGAAGTGCCTACTGGCAATGTTCAACTGGTAGGTAATTTACGTTGTACCAGTTGAAGTGCCCAATTTTTCTCTGATTCGATCCTTTTTCAATTCCAATTCATTCCAACCTCATACATCATCAACCCAAACTTTAATAACATGAAAATTTACATTAAACACAATTCATACTAGTTCGATTACATTCTTGTACATATAATTATGTGTCCAAAACTAATTTACATAATTGTTTTAGAAAACATGATTTTAAAGCCACATCTCAGCTTTTCTTCATCAATGAGTGCCTGAGTGAGAGTAATCGATCAACGCATATCTCACACCTTAAATATTGTCCCCATAAAGGATGAGTCACGTTCAATAAGGTATCTGCTAAAGAGGCTACTCCCCAACCTAGATACATATGAAATGTTCACACGCAATTCACAAACAACATTTACTCTATTCACGAATATGCAATTCAATGATGGAATCCTCTATGTCGTGCCATGATATGAGATTAGACTCACACATGCAACTCTACCCGAGCCTTCACCGACTCCCACAACACATGCAATATCATGCGTATGAATCAAAGCATTCCAAGCCCTCGCCATTGATATTACACATCCAATGACCATTTTATAAAATAAACATATGTCTTTCTTGGGTACACAAAATTTGGTGTTTCACCGCTGATTTCGCACACCGATTCACTTTTTTGGACTTGCACTTTTGGAAGTGTGTAAATCTAGCCCTTCTTGCTATACCCAACACAAATTTTTTTACGCAACTGTGTAACTCAGTTAGGCCTAAGTCCAAGCTTCCTGAGTCCACACCTCAACCACCAAGAATGGTGTTTGATTCAAAAACATGCACACACACCCCACTCATGTCAAATGCCCATGAATGCAATGTTTCCTGTGCATATACAAATGTAATGTACAATTGTTGTCACACCCCAAATTTCATAAAAGCGTGATTAAAACAAACACTTTGTTTATTTAAGAAAAGAAAACACATGTTGGTATGTTGTAAAAATATCTATGAACGTATCTCTTTAGTTGAAATAAATCATTCTTTTTTTGAAAATTTCGGCAGAGTTTCCTTTGAAAATTGGGCTTCCAAGCAGTTAGTAAGAGCATCCTTGCGAAAGTATAACATGATTTAAACAAACTAAATGTCCACAACATACCTCCATCCAAAAATATAATCCAACTACATCTGGGGTGGCAATTAGAGGCCCATGAAGTCCTCCCAAACCCGGATACATCCAACACCAATATATACTATAACTTAGTACCCAAAGTCATAACTTTACATTACAATATCCAAAATAATAATCCCTCTATGGGATGGTCAAGTGTACAACAAAAATGCCTCAAAAAAACCTTTTCAAATACAATGTTTGAGTGCTAACATTTCTACATAAGTTCTAAAGGTGAATACAAAAAAACTCGAAAAAAACTCTTTCTTGTTCAAGCTCCCACAAGCATTCAATCACTTATGCCCCAGGATGCATGCTAGTCTCTGAAAATATTAATAAGGGATGAGCAACCACACACTTAGTAGGATAATCCTTTTCCCAAGCATTTACAAAGTTTTAAAAACCAACATTTCACAAATCATACGAATAAGTAATGTAAGCTTTCTATAATTAAATACAAGTACAAGATAATAAGTAAAGCGTTTATAAAATCTCCACAAATTAAAGTCAAACCATCATAGCCAATACCTTGCATGTCTCGCATACAGACAATATCATCAATCACACCGGTTCACACATGAACCATCCCCGGGGAACCTTTTGGATCTTGCACCCTAGAGTCTCAACGCCCTTCTTGCTTTTAAGGGAGGATGTGTAGGGCACAACTTGTGATGCCACACAGGCTGTCACCGAAAACTACTACCATCACCAATCCCCACTAGGACTAGAAGTCGCCTTGGCAACCCCCCTCAACGGCCCCAACCGTTCACTAACCCTCTGTCTGTCGGTACCGAGCATATAAGTTTCAAACTATAATTTCATGATCACCTTCCATTCTCAACACCAACCACAACTTTGACACTTTTAAAAAATGCATAGTTTTACAAAATCTCACATTTCTATTTCAAATGTAACACATATTCAAAATAACTCACATACACACCAAAAAATACAATTTGTACCCTTTTATAGCAAATTGCACAAATTAAATGACTGAGAAGTTGTATAGATCAACACCACACTTTTCATACTTTAAAATAACTCAACAATACCCCAAATCATGGTAAAATATACTCAATTACATCATAAAAATCAATACCTCTTTCCACAATTTTTTCAA